TTCCATGTTGATAAAATTGTTCTGCCTGTTAGAGAGCATATGAGTTAAAAGCTTGGATATTGTAGCTGTAATTAATTAATTAGGCTTAAAAATTGTTTCCTTCTATTCCCCTACTTACTGATACAGCTTATCTACGGAGTTTCATTTGTCATTCATTGACAACCATAGCAGAGCCCTTTAAAAAAATTTTTTTTTGTCAGTTCTGGGGTTTGAGTCAGTATTGTTTCGATCCTGCATTTTCCAGGCAAGTGTTCTTGTGTTCATTTAACTCATGGTCACTGCTTTTAATTTCTTTAGTTTTTCAGATAGGGTCTTTTGTTATGACAAAGGCCAGCCTTGAACTGTGATCCTCCTATGGATTCCTCCTACATACCTGGGATCAAAGGCATGTACCTCCATGCCCAGTCTGTTTGTTGAGATGAGAGTTTCACTAACATTTTGCCCATGTTGGCTTGTAATGCAATTCTCTTGCTATTGTTTTCCCAAATAGCTGGGATTACAGGTATGAGCTGCTACCTACTTTCAACCTAAAATCCCTTTGTTTGTTGTTTGTTGTTGTTGCTGGATTTTGAGACAGTCTTGTTATGTAGCCCATGCTGCCTTGAAATTCCCACCTTCCTGCCTTCAGCTTTGTAAGTGCTGGGATTACAAATGTCCATTTTTTATATATTAGGATTCTTTTAAGTAATGTAAATGTGAATGATATTTTCCCTAGGATTCTAGTATTCTGTTTTACTGGAAATAAATATAGCGAATTGTGCTATATTATATATTGTGTGGTACACAATCTTGTTCTCTATCCATTTACTTTAAATCTGTATCTTTATCTCTAATGTGGATTATTATTTGCAACAAATAATTCTGTGTTTTTTTGTTAGCTGCTCTGAAAATCTTTATCTTGATATATTTAGATCATTGACATTTAAAGTGACTGTTGATGTATTTTGATTAATATCTACCATATTATCACTATTTTCTATTACTACTTTTGATCTTTTTATTTTTATTTATTTTTAATTGTTAAGTTAAAGTTGTAAAAAGGATTTATAATTCCATAAGTTAGGTTATGAATACAATGCTCTTGACAATGTCACCCCTTCCTTCCTTCTGCCTATGTTCTTTGCTCATATTTTACCATTCTTTTCCTACATTTGGTAATTTGAATCAGACTTTTTATGGTTCTGTTTTTATGTTTTGTTAGGATATTTGCTACTCTTCCTTTTTTAACTTTTCTTAGTGGTTGCTCTAAAATTTGCAATACATATTTACAGTGAGGGTAAAAGGTATTAATATGAGAAACATTTTTTGTAGTTTGAATAGGATAGGACATCCAAAATGTTGTCTTTGGCAAGTTCAGAGTCTAAGGATGACCTACACCATAATCAATTCTCTGAAAAGACCAGCAGTCTTCACAGATATATTCTGCCTATAAGTATGACATCAAAATACAGGTTTCAAAATCATGCAGAACAGTTTGTTGCCGGTGTCTTGTGCTTGTAATCCTAGCTGCTGAGAAGGCTGAGATCTGAGGATCATGGTTTGAAGTCAGCCCAGGCAGGAATCTGAGAGTCTTCTGTTTCCAATTAACCAGCCAAAAGCTGAAATGGAGTTGTGACTAAAGAGGTATATAGCCCACATTGAGGGGAAAAGTTAACAGACAGTGCCTATGCCACATCTAAGTTCAAGCCCCAGTACTATTGCAATTCTTCATGGTTTTTCTTTTTTTTTATTTTTTTAAATTTAATTTTATTTTATTTGTGAACATACTGTACAGAGGGATTACAATTGCATGGGCAGGATAATGCGTACATTTCTTACCAAGCATTGCAGCCTCCTCCTTTGTTTACCCTTCACATCACTTCCCAGCCTCCCCCCTCCCCCCCCAATCCCAATCCTTTTCCTTTCCCCCTCCCCCCCTCCCCCCCCACCGACGTTGTAAAGCTCGTTTTGGACATGACAACTTGTACTTCTCATTGTTGCAACAGGTCCACCTGTATCCTTAAACAACTGGTTTTTCCCCATCTCCTCCACAAGTTATACTGACATCAAATATAGTGAAAGCAGGGGTTATACTGTGGGGGAGGGATATACAAAGCAACAAAGAGATAATCTTATAAATGCGTTAGAAACACATGCATGAAAGAAAAAAAACATTAAAATACATACCTAAGGGTTCATTTTCCTGACATCACATTATCTGACCTTTTTGTTTTTCTTTATGTAAGAAAAAAAATGAATCAACTACTCTTCTTGGATACTCCAACAATTCATGTATACAAAAGCAGCAAGCTTGGGTTAACTAGAAGAGCATCAGCAGTCCCCTGGGTACCGCCGACCTGTGCTGATGACTTTATCCAGCAGCTATGTGAAATAGTGATATACTTTCATTCTCAAGAGTCATATTGAGTATTCACAAGGAAAGACTAGATTCTAGGCCATATAACACACTTTTGCAATCTTAAAGCAATAAATATTATACAATATCCGCTCTCTAACCAATATAAAATAAAAGAAATAGAGGAGGAAAATCCCAAAATATATTGATACTAAATACCACACTTCTAAATAAGATATAAATACCACATGACTTAAATAACTGAAAATGAATACTCATCAAAACTTGGCTATAGTAAAAGCAGAGCTTTGTGGGGAACTCCGAGGATTAAATTAGAAAAGAAGAGATTTGAAATAATCTAAGCTTCTATCTCAGGAAATTATAAAAAGAACAAATTAAATCCAAAGCAAGCAGAAGAAAATACAAGAAAAATGGTAGTCTTTCAAAAACTGATGCTGGAACAAGTGGATATTTATAGGTGACTCTCAATATAAACCTAACCTTTTATGTTACAATTTTCTTAAAATGGTGGATAGATTAAACCATAAACTATAATATTCTCATAAGATAACTTAGGAAGAAGTCCTCAAGAGCTCAATGTATTTACTTATGAGTTTCCAAGCCAAATAAACTTCCACATACAAAATAATTGATTTCAAAAAATTCTGAAATCAAAAGGGGGTGGGGGAGAGGATTGGGTGAGGGGAAGGGAGGAGTATGGGAAGGGATGGGAAGGGGAAACAACGAGGAGGCAACAATGCTTGATAAGAAATGTACTCGTTATCTTGCCCATGTAATTGTAACTCCTCTGTACGGTATTCTCAAAATTAAAAAAAAAAAAAAAGAAAAAAAAGAACACACTCAATAAAGTCGTGGAAAGTTTCCTTCAAAAACAAAAAACTTTTGATTTTGAAATTGTGGGTTTAAGTCAAACCAAGAAATTTCAAAGGCAGGAGAAAGGAGACCTATGCTAGTAGCTCCCTCTTGCACAATTACAGAGTGATATAAAGGCCAAACTGACAAGATATGACACATCTGTCTCACTTACTCACATAATATAGTTCTGTGTAATTTACAACTATCAAAATCAGAACTTTCCCATCACCACAAAGGTCTTCCCCACGTATTTCTTTATAGATACATTTACTTTCCTCCCCACCCTTTAACCCCTCAGAACAATTACTATGCTAACCATTATATTCATGGACTAGCACAATAAATTGGAGCTTGGCTTATCTGTTGTTTTATCTACAGATCATTTCTTGGTAGCAAGTCAAATGACATGGTACCCACACCATTCATCTATTGAAGAATGTTTCCTTTTTTTCTGCTATTTTGGAGCTATAATGAATGAAAATGCTGTAAGCATTCTCCTGCATGATTTCAGTCAACATATCTTCTTATCGCCAGGTTAAAATCTTCAGAGTGTAATTGTTAGATGTAGGAAGGTGGTTTACTTTTATAAGAAATTATAAACTAAAGCCATTTTCTAGAGTGGTTGCAAAAATTGCATTCCAATGGAAAGAGATGGTAAGGGCCTGGCTGTTGTCCCTGAGCTTTTGTCCTCAAGACTAGTGCTCTACCACTTTGAGTCACAACACCCATTCCTGGTTTTCTTGTGATTAATTGGAGATAAGAGTTTTATATGCTTTCCTACTCAGGCCAACTTCAAACCACAATCATCAGATCTCAGCCTCCTGAGTAGCTAGGATTACAAGCGTGAGCCACCAGTGCATGGGCGTATGAACTTAGGATTTTATAAACATCTCTGTGTATTGTGATTTGCCCAACAGGAGAGGGAGTGGAAGCCCGTACAATGAGCACACACAACACACAGCACTTAGGTCTAAATACGTTCCCTATCAACTTGACTCAGGGCCCCTGGAGAAAAGGACAGTTAAGCAGAAGCTATAAAAAGTTGAATGCTCAGTCATTCTAGCAGCCAAAGTTGGGGTAATTTAAAAAGAAAAAAGAAAGACTTCAATGAATTTCAAAACATTAGAAAATAAAAATCCAAAAACCTGACAGTTGTATGAAAAATAAAGACATAATGAGATAATGAAATTTTTTCTGATATTTTTATGTCCTTGACTTTACATATGGAACGAAGAATAGATGTGGCACCTGGTTTACTGGTAAGTGTCACAGTTGAGTTTGTTGAATGAGAATTATAGACACTTAGTTACTAAGGGACATTGTCAAAGATCAACCTTTGATGTGTGCTGACTTGGTGCTTCTTAAAGTGTGGAGCCCAACCCAGCAATATCTGTGTTACCTGGAAATTTTGCAACTCCCTAGGCCCTGAGACCTCAGGAGTTGGAATCTCTGGGTGTGGGACCTGCAAGCAGCATTTCAACAGCACTCCCCATGAATATATCTGATAACATTTGAAAGTTTCCACTGGATGATGGTGCTACTCCAGGCTGGCTTACCAATTTGCCCTTTGCATAAATCTTAATGTTTTCACTCATAAAAAATTTTAAACACCACCAGTTTTGTTTCAGAAAAAAATGTGTGTGTACTTCATTTACTGAAGTTACCACTTTTCTACTGTCCTGCATAAGAGGAAATAAATAAAGCAGAATCCAATGCTCATTGCCTAATTATGCACATTATATATATTTATGCACACACATAATGGCAAACACTCTTGTCTGCATTTCAGGTCCCAACTGCTTCGCAGAAACTGCTGTCATCCCAGCTGGTCGAGAAGTAAAGACTGATGAATGCACCATCTGCCACTGCACTTACGAGGAAGGCACATGGAGAATCGAACGGCAAGCCATGTGCACGAGACACGAATGCAGGCAGATGTAGACCCTTGACTGTACAAAAACTCACGTGGTTTTTTTCTAGAACATCTTCCTGATGTGACACTGTAGATGGCGCTGGGAAACATATCAAAAGAAGACTTTTGATGCAAAGTCGTGGAAAATGGTTGATCCTTTTGTTTTCTTTGGTTACAATTACTGCAAGAGAAGGAAGTGGATTTATTTCAGAGCATCGTCAAGAACTCTGGGTGTAAAGACCCTCTCTAAATAAATGTGCTATTTTCACAGTAAGTACGCTAAAGTACACTGTTATATATTAAATGTATTTCTATAATCCCTCTATTAGAGAGCTTATATAAATGTTTTCTATAGATACAGATTAAAATGCTGTGTTGTCCACCGTCTTCACTGTGTATCTGCATATCTTTGTTACTTCTGATTGCATTGCAGGGATGCTACTGGCTGCCACCTTCTTCCCCTCACATCTAGCCATGGAATAATGCGACCATTAATGCACCATAAGATGACAGGACTGATTTCTACTGAAACCTCATCCAAATTCTCTTTAATTACAGACACGTATCTGATGTTTACTTCTTCACATAAATGTAATGTTTCTTCCTTATGAAAATAGACTGCTTCATGACTTATTCTCAGTCATTTGGGAAATGCACGCAGAAAGATCACTGAGGCACACTTTCTCCATTCTTATAGCTTTCTGATGTTGCAGACTATAAATAAAAGCATATGTCTATTTTAATTACATTATCCTCTCTTTGAAAAATGACTTGAATTCAGTCCCTACAGTGAGGAACAAATAAGCTGGAAAATACGTATGATTGTTCCACAAAAGCTGGAATATGCCATAAAGGAGAGGGGGAATCTGCTTCTCTGGAGGAGAATTAAGGAAACAAATTCCCAAATAAGCTTTTATCTGATCCAAACACAGTGCAGACATCTCAGCTCTCAGTTCTCAGTGGCCATATTCACTAATTAAGCTGAGTAGTCTGTCCTCAATTAACAGACATAATACAAATCCATCTTCCACCAGTAGGAGAAAGCCTTTCTACCAATTCACCTGTGTTGAAACAAGCAAAGCTGAAAGTAATAGACCACTGCTAAGTCAACTCCTGCCAATCTGACTTATGCCTGTGGAATAGTTGCACATATCGGGATTATGGCAAAAACTGGCACATGATGGAAGAGATCATCAGGGTCTTAAGCAGTGCAGGATGAAAAAAACAAAATTATAATCATTATTTGAAGTACATGAAGTACTTCCATACATTTATTTATTTCATATTTTGAAAATAAATACCTGCAAACTATTGTGATGTCACAAAAGGAACAAGAAGGGATGGTGTCTTGACTACCATGTGTTTTAGGGCTTTGGGGAAGAACAAATTACAATGTATTATATGAGGAGCCAACTGAGATTCCAGGAAAGGCCCCCTTAAAAATCACAGAAAACAAACCAATAAAAATTGAGTAATTTTCAAGAAAACTGATAATATTCGACATGACTGAAAAGATGGAACATTATAGCCCTTAGTAAATATAAAACCACCATTAACCTTGTGTCATCAGAGCAGTCCCATATACTCATACTTAATTGTATAAGTTTTTTTACATAATTTTATAAAGATTATCTTGGGCTAAGAGGACTAACATGAAATACTCAGGGGATTTATTAGCTAGTTGCTCTCAGGTGTAATCAGCTGTCCAAAACATAACTTTTAGTTCTTGGAGACTGTTAGGCATTAGCTATCATTCCGTTATTCAAGGGTAGGTTTGTTGTGACAGGTTCTATAAGGTGATCTGTCATTTTGCCATGTCCCTGTTCCCCTTAGGCAAGTGAACCATTCAGGTTTTTCTAAAATCATAGGTAGCCTCCCAGTCAGATGTGAAGTAAGTAGTGCTTTGGTCTAGTCTATGAGGTTATCTTTTTCTACCTGAATGGACAATGGGCTCTGAAATCATAGCAATGGTATGGCCCTTAAATGCTGTGACAACTTCAGGAAGCCTGGTATTTCACTGGCAGAGGATGTTTTGCTTGATTTAGACTACTGTGACCCACACTTTGACAGGCACACTCCTTAGGATCTGGAACTTGGTGGCTGCTACTGTATTAGAGTAACTTGTTTAGCCTCTCATTTCAACTCTTACATCATTCTGACTTCCACACAGAAAACAATAAACCCAACATGGCTGAATAACCCTGTACATATTCAGTAATAATGGGATGGTTTCCATTATCGTTAAAAACTGGCTTCTGTTCTCGCAGATCAATTGGCGTTTCACATCTGAATAGCTGACTCAGGTAGACATTTTCTTCCTCCAGAAGTTTTTGCTGAGATTTCCAAATGAGACTGTTTTACTCAAGTAGCACAATAACCTCAATAACTGCACAATAAAAGCACAGCAGTAAGATTCCAAGTTCTCTGATTCCAGAACATTATAGTTTGGACATATTATTGTAAAAGCCTCAAAATTAAAGCTGTAGAAGTTGTTGAAAAGTTTTAAGTCTTTAAAATTCCAGTATGCTTGTTCTAGAACTTGAATAAACTTTTATTCAAGAAAGGTAATTACAAATGTATTACTTAAATATATTCAAAAATTTCAATCTGTATTTAGATTTGAAAATATGAAGCTATTGTGTAAGCCATAAAAGTATTTTGGAGATTATCTAATCTGATGTCTTAGACATTTTCAAGGTAGAGTCATACGTTCATTTATAAGTTACTTCCTTGTTGGATAGATTATTTTGTACTTGGCATTTACAACTCACAGAATTCACAAAGTAAAGTCAGAACTTGTACAGCAACATTAGATGCACCATAGTCCTGTGTCAGGACCTGACTGGTCTCCAATGGTACAGAGCAGACATTCGTTGACTGTCTGGGAGTTTATATACCTTGAAATGACGTTACGTTTAATTATGTTACTTTTAAGCCTTTCATCCGTACAGTATCATCATTTGTGTTAGTAATAAAGCAGGTTAAGAGATGAGTTCTCACATATTCTGAGATTATAGTATCACTAGTACGGTATGCTTAAGTGACTCCACTTTTCCAACTTAAATATTGATGTATATAGTGTTCAAGTCTTCAAGTGTTCAGAAAATTTGGTATTTTCCATTTTGTTTTGATTTTAAACAAAATGTTTGAAACATACAAAAGGTACACCATTTCTAGACAGCATTGTTGAAAGTGACATTATTTTAAATAATAGCCTATTTAAACAAAAAGAAAATAATTATAGACACTAAGCATGGCTGGACAAATACTAACAATTGACTAAATTTGTTTCAATAAATTGGTAAGAGCTTATATACTTTTCATTTTTAAGTCAATACTTTTTCTTCAACATGATGTCATAAGAAAATGTTGTCTACATGCCATTCTACCTGTACACTGGGCAGAATCAGAAATACAAATACGCACTATTGGTGATTGCATCTGCTTTTCTCTGTCAACCTCTACAAGGTGCAGGCCCTCAGCATCCAGCCACTGCTCAGGACATGGCCTTCACATTCCTCAGCTCTTGTCCTGAGAGTCCTGTTACAGCATGCTCGGATGCCACATATGTTTCAATGTCCAACTCAAGTGTCATGGCTTGTGAGAAGCTTCTGTAGTCATTAATGGGATTCTTATTACATGTCCACAACATGGTACTAAGTTGGTGTTATTTACCATGAAAATAATAAAGGCTGGGATATATGTAGCTCTGTGGGAGAGCACTTTATTAGCATGCACAAAGCTCTGGGTTTGATCCTCAACACTGCCGAAAATAAAAATAAAAAATAATAATCACACTTTGCTTTACAATTAATTTTATGTGTTCTTTCTCTTATTCATAAGTTTTTTTTTTAATTTGTATTATGAGACATTCAATCCATAGGACATCAGCCAGTTTCTTTATGGTAAAGGTTTCTTGAATTGTATTCAATATACTCACACAAAGGTACTTACTATCCTTGGTTAATGTAGGCATAAAACTAAAAGCTCCAACTCTTTTATCATTTGCAGGTCCTGTTGTCTTTTGTTTTCTCAGTTTAGTAGCAAATTTCAGATACCCATGTCACAGCAATCTGGAATAGACCAAATACCTCTGGGTTAGAATAGTTTAGGATAAACTTGGGTAGCTACTGCCATTTCTGATGCAAATCAGAAAAAAATCCTTTAGTGCTGAGGTTTTGATGCTGTAGAAAATTTCTTATAATGAAAAGTCATGGTATTTAGGATAAAATAAGTTGAGTTCACAGTATTGCCATTTCTTTGATTATTCCAGTTTTCATATACAAATTTCTTATTTCATACTTTATTTTATGGTTTTGAGTATTTCTACATATTTTTGTCTTCTTGTCTAACACAAGTAAATAACACCTTATGCACCCAGGAAAATTGATAACATAAATCAGAACGCAGTTGCCTGAGATATACAGTGTTTTGCACATCCTGTTGGAAAATCCAAAGGTGATGGTGGTCTAGATTTCATTAGTATCAAGTATAACTAAATTGTATAAAGTATCTGATTTTTAGCTCTAACACAAAATATGAAGAAAAAATATAAGTCCAAATGTTGAATGTTTTGTGTCTATGTATCAGTACTGGAGCTCCATTTAATGCAGGGCCTTTGAGCTCTCCCTTAGTTTTTTGTTCAAGGCTAGTGTTCTGTCATTTGAACCCAGCTCTATTTGTAACTTTTGGCTAGTGAATTGGAAAGAAGAGTCTCATGAACTTTCCTGTGTGGGGTGACTTTGAACTATGATCCTTAGATCTCAGCCTCCAGAGTAGCTAAGTTTACAGACATAAGCCACCAGAACCCAGCTCTCACTATCCAATTTTTAATGGCATAGATCCCATTGAATACTAAGCAACACTAACCATCAGGCTGTTAGTGCACCCAAGGTTTCAGTAATGAGAAAACTTTAATGAAAGTGTGTTGAAAATGCTTGGCCCATGGGCAGTCTGTGATGGAAGAATTGGACATTGCTTTACTCCTTCCTCCTGGGTCCTGAGAAGCCCAGGAAATCCATTCCCAACCCATTGCACAGGCACAGAACTGTCAACAGCTATCAATGAATACACCCAAAGCAACTTCAATACTCTATTGACAGAACATGATGACTAAATGCAATTTTAAGTATAACTATTTGAGTTTTAAGTTTACTTTCCAGGCAGTAGAAACACACCTTGGCTTTTTAAGTATGTATTAACATTTTATTTAATAATTAAGTACTCACATTAAACCACCTACTTTTAACTCCTGGTATTTAAATATTAGGCAAAACTGTTTGTATTCCTTTTGTTGTATTTACTTCCCATTCCTTTTGTTGTATTTACATTATGAAAAGAAGTATAATTGAAAAGAAGTATAATTGTTTTTTTGTTTATTTGATTTC